ACTTCCGCCCAGGTGCAATCCAGACCAAGACATAGTGGCCCTTCATTCCAGTGGCAGCTAGACCTTCAGTTACATGCATTACAGTTTCAGGAACGACCTCAGGTTTCCTCTGAAATATTCATGAAGCACCTGTGGTGTGTGTGTGTGTGTGTGTGTGTATGTGATCAAATACATCCTATTTCTTAGCAGTAAGGAATGATTGCAGAAAGCACCAACATAGAGTGATCTGACCATTGTAACAGGCTCATGGTAATATACCTCAAATTTTTATCATGTTGCCACTGCTGCTTAAGACAAAATCCAAGTGTAATATGAGATCATGGGTGGACCCATAGCAACTTGAGTCAGGTCCATGGTGACTTCTGAGTCACTTCTGAACAATGCCTAAAATCAACAGATTAAAGTTTCCTAATACCATTAAAACTCCAATGCTAACACAGTCACAGCTTCAAGCAGTTCCACTGCCAACCCAACTTCGCTACACAAAAGGAACAGTACCAACAATCCCACTGGATACTTGGAGCCTAGTTACAACAACAAAATCTCACAACTCAAAGCAATGAAAGCTACCAGATGAATTTAGGGTTGAGGCTGTTGCCACACTTGAAATTCATGTGGGCTTTCACCTGTCTAAGATAGGAATTTCCTACTTCTCTGCCTAGGTAAGTCTTGGTAATCTACACTAAATTAACCAGAATTGCAGAAATCTAACCAGGTGCTGAGCAAGGCATAAGTTACTATCACAAGAGCATCATGAGTCATAAATGATACACCAACAAAACTGGCCATAGTCTTTACCTACTCAAATCAAAACTTTATTATAGCCAGAAACCAGCAAATGACCCAGACAAATACAAAAAGACATGCAAATAATTAATATAACAGGAACTTAGTCTTTGGAATGCATCATTATATCTGCTGTACTCTTGAAGATAGTTAACAGACTGTGGTGATGCTGTACGTGACTACATCTTCTATCATTACTCACTTTATATGCTAACTAATGATAGAAGATGCAGGTTTAGTTCAGGTTTAGAATAGATTTATAATTTTCTTTTGGGCCTTCTGGCTGTAAATAAAATGGATGAAAAAACTTCTGTTAAAGATTACTGCTCTATTTATTTATCCTCTAGCTTCCCCTAGTGTCCAACATTCAAGATTCTTTATTATAAAAAGATCCCAAATAATCACCATTTCCTATGAGAAAATTCCTTCTTAATTCAAAGCTATAATTCCAGATCCATTCTAAACCCTTGATTTGTTATTAATTTTCTGAAATCCATATTCTAAGCACCTATTTCTACATAATCAAAAAAATAATATCTTTACAAAACTTTTAAAAATCAAACTGGACAGCCCATGACCTATTGGTTCATCTTTCAGAAATACTTAGTTACCTCAACAGATAAACATAATGACCAGGGCAGTCAAATAAGCAGCGGGAGCAGGAGCAGCTTCCAACCTCCTATTGGCTTCTTCATTGACTTTATTTGTTGGAAGCTGGCAGAAATCAGATCCCGTGACTGCAGCAATGCAGCAGTAGTCACAACTTTGCCAATACAGGTAGTCCTCAATTTACAGCAATTTGTCCAGCTATTGTTCAAAGTTTCAATGGTTCTTAATCAATGGTAGTTATAACTTGGGGTTTCGACCATTCCAGAAACCTTCCCCCCAATACTATGTAAGTGCTTAGCAATTCATTTGCATTTATGATTGGTTGCCAAACACCCTGTGATCATGTGATCGCCATTTCCAATCTTCCCTGCCAGTGCACCCCAGACAGCAGGGAAGGTCGCATATTTTCCCTACCCATGCACCCTCCCAAGCCCCTGTGCTTGCACTGCACTGGCCACTCACACACACACATGCATCCTCCCCAATCCTCATCACATCTCTCTCACACCCCTGTCCACTCCTACATACCCTCCCCAACCCATGCCACACCCCTGTGCAACCTTCCCAACCCAAACAATATGTTTTGCGCCCACCCGTCACCCTCCCTAACTTGTACTACACCTTTTGTACATTCCCTCATCCCCTTGCAGCACCCTCTTGCACACCCTCCCTCATCCAGTAAGCAGCCACCAATGTGCCTGCCAGACTGGGACTTTCAACTTCCTGCCAGCTTTCCCACTGACTTTGCTTGAGGGATGCAGACAAGGAGCATCAGAAATCAAGATCATATGGCAGAATTGGCAGGAGTCACAATTGTGCAAATAGAACAAGTGTGAAAAATCTTTGAAATTTCAGTTTTGCAAAGGTAATGAGCCCTGGCTTTTTATGCATTCTTTAAGTTGGCTTATTTGAGCCAAACATTGTTGCGCTATGATGCACTGTTTCAGCTAATTGAAGGTTACAAACAGACAGTCAGGCTAACGTTAGTAGGATATAGATTTACACAATCTTTCTCCAAGTTGAAGGGGACTTACCTGAGGAACACAGCAAAAATTTGCCAGTTCAAAGAGTCTTAATCTCTCCGGTACAATAAAAAAAAAAAATCCAAAAAGTGATTTAAGAAATGAGATTCAGTCAAGCCTAATGTCCATAAAAGGCTTTGTTGCAGGTGTAAACTTGCAAGCCACTCAACTCATAAGCTGACTGCAAAACATCAATTTCTGCAAGCTACTCACAAGGAGTAGCTATTTGGAGTCACATGGATAATTTCAACATCTCTCCTTCCTCCAGAGATTCTGCTGGTATGGATCCAGCATCGTGCTACATTTCTCCTTGCAAATGTGGTCCCACTACTAGCAATATCTTGCCATGGCACTCACAGGAAATTGGGGCATGTTTATTTATGTCACAAGTTAAAGTTCACGCATCTAGAAGATGCCTGATTTGGGAAAGGCCAAAATAGCTTTCACCTAAGGACTTTCACTATTGCTTCACTCTTAAACATGTTTTGAGTATTACATTATGTATTTAGAAAAGTATTTACAGTATTTATACTGGAGTATATTGTACAGTAAAAGTATCTGATATTTCCAAGACCACTAAGCTATTAATATAGCAGCATTGGCATTTGGCATCAGGCAGAGAAATCAGCCACAATTTCTACAGAATTATATCAGCATGGAAAATCTCAAGTTTCCAGTGTGTCAAATTGCTTGAAAGTTAAAAATTAATCTAGTGCGTGTGTATAAGTTAGTAGCAATGAACAGGGAAAGACGATAGAAAGTAATTTATCTAAAAATCAGTTGCGTTCAATTCTATTTGATAAAAGAAAAGAACGTGTTGGGATATACAACATATATACAGTGAATCAGTGCTCAAATCACCAGAATTGTAAAGTTCATCAGCTTCAGATCTTTAACCATTCTTTGTGATGTGAACTTTTTGAAGATGTTTTTTGAAAAATGAATTTTATTAGTTTGTATTTTTTTTAATTTTTTTTTTTTTAATTAAGATGCCTTGAAAATTGATCATAACAGTGAAAAGATTTACTTGGATGTGCAATCCAATATTATGGTTTTGGCACACAGTGTTTACACTATTTTGCCCAGCTTTCCTCTACATCACCAGAATAGAATAGAATAGAATAGAATAGAATAGAATAGAATAGAATAGAATAGAATAGAATAGAATAGAATAGAATAGAATTTTTTATTGGCCAACACACAAGGAATTTGTCTTGGTGCATATTCAATGGAATTAACTATTGAGTAGGGAGATTTAAAAATGCACTGCTTGTTAATATTTGCAGGCTACTTCAGATGTATAAAAGTATTGAAAAAATAAAAAAAAAATTAAACCATGCTGAAATTTATTTAGAATTCACAGACATTGGTTTCTAATTTGTAAGTAAGCATGTCAGTCTCTAGCGTTATTAAGAGAAAGCACAAGTCAAAAGCAAATACTTCTCAAGTAATGTCCATACTAAAGGTGGCTAATTTATTCCTGGGTATTAATACATTATATGTATTTTATAAAGGGAGGGAGGGAGGAAATGTCTGACAACTAACTTTTTTGACTGTACAGATATATAAGCCCAATAAAGAGTTGGCTGAGAGCAGTTTTGAAGTTGGATACTATAGTATGTCAGTAGCGAGATCTATGATCCCATTACTCCAGTGGTGTCAAACATGTGGCCCACAGATCAGTTGTGTCACACGCTGGCCACGCCCACCCCTGGTTTAGCGAAGGGAGAATACATCATGTGATGACGACGTGATGATGCGAGTTTGACACTCCTGCGTTACTCCATGAAAAAAATAAACATAAATGAAAAGAATAAATTAATACTACCATTATGAGAAATATAAACAGTCTTTGTGTTATACAGTATGTTTTGTTTCATTTTTATAATTACAAATGCCCTGAAATAGGCATACTATGTAGTTTCATGGAATTAAGAAAGAGAAGACACAGTCCATTTCCCAACACTGACTTCACTCGTTGTAATTACTGGAAACAATGACTCATTAGTGGAACTGTTCTCGTTTTGCTAAGGGAAATTTCAAAAACAGCATATAGTGCAGCATAAAGGTCAGCTGTTCAAAAAAAATTAAAAATTAATTTGAGCATAGGGCTGAAATATTTCTAAGCAACAGTTTACATCTTGACCCAAAGTGCATTTATTCCCATGTTCTAGATGGCAGTTAGGCTGACAAATCTGGGATGCAAAAAAAACTGTATCTCTGTTGCCACCTCATGGTTGATTTTTGCATAACGAAATCACAGCTTTGGTTCAGGTTGCAAAGGACATGAAAGTTAACTCAGTTTTATCTAATGAAGAACACAGATATTTCTTACAGACACAATTTTCTGTGTCACAAGAACATCTCCCGCGTCAAAAATAACAACATTCTGTTTCCTAGAAACAGTCGCTTGAAACACAGCCATGAGTCAGTCCTGACTTCAAGAACTCAGTTGACTCATGACAGGGATAGGACAGGGGCACCATATTTAGGACAGTAAAAAAAAAAAAAAAACCCTAGCAAAATTTGAAGATATTAGTGATCAGACATTTAGATTTGCAGAACAAAACTATTTAGACCAAATGTGCTTTCATATTATTTATTATACACTATGAAAAATAGGCACAAGAGCCTATTTAACTGATGCTTTCTATCCCAAGTTGCAGCATTTGTACATCTTGACCACTGAAGAAATCCACATTCTAACTTGCATGGAAACGTGCTTGAGATATACTGGTAATTCCTTTACATATGTAAAACTCACATTGACTTTAACAGATTTTTTTTTCCAGCATTTAATATATGTAGGGTTAATCTTGAAATGCTTGGGACTACAGTTTCTCACATCCCCAATTACTGGTCATCTGCTTGGGGTTTGTAGGAGTTACAGTCTATAACCATGATGGCGATCCTATGGCATGCATACTACAGGTGGCACACGGAGCCATATCTGTGGGCACACAAGCATTGCCCTAGCTCAGCTCCAGCATGCATGCACGGACCAGCCAGCTGATTTTCGGGCCTTCCGGGCCCACCAGAAGTTGGGAAATGGGCCGTTTCCAGCCTCTGCAGGGCCTCTGGGGTGGAGGAGGTCATTTTCGCCCTCCCCAGGCTCCAAGAAAGCCTCTGGAGCCTGGGGAGGGCAAAAAAGGGCCCTACTGGGTCCACTCGTAACCTTTTTGCCATCATGTGCCAAAAGCGGGGGGAGTGCGGGGGGGCATTGAATTATGGGTGTGGGCACGCAGACACACGACACCCCCCCCACGACCCCTACTTTCGGCATGCAATGGCAAAAAGGTTACCCATCACTGGTCTATAACATCTGACAGACTTGATGATGAAACCTTCCAAGCAAATCAGGCTTTAACAAAGCAAGCTGCTTATATGCAGAATTCTGCCAACCAAATGTTGGATATTTCTAAGTTTTGATGACCATATTTTTTTCCTTTTAAGCAATTTATCATTATTTCAGACCATGCTTTCAGTAATCCCAACCCTGAAAAGCCTAATGGGGATAAAACAGATGCAGCCAACTGGCAACTTACACATATAAAAATATCAAAACTAAAACTTAAAGGAAATACTTAAAAGAATGGAAAAGCAAATTTGGAAAGGAGAAAAGATTCCCCCATCCTAGCATTCTCTTTTCTTTTGATACACTGCAGCAATATCAGTTTACTCTAATCTTAATCCTAAAACATCTTCTAAACCATTTTTTTTCTGCTAAAGTATTAATAATTTCTTGATGTCGTTGAGTGCATAAAAGTGCACAATTCCTAAGAAGAGAAATGCTCACAAATCATTAGGTTAAAACATTTTAGAGCTTATTTTTCATCTAAAACTATCTATACAGAGCTTTTCATCACAACTATTACAAAAATATACTTTTAAACCACCATAGAAATGTCACTCTTCTGTACAGGCACAAACGAACTGTTTCAACGCATTCCCAGTAGCTGACGGCTTTTCAACTGATAGTGTTTCTCCAGTTCACACAGAGCTTGAGCGCGCAGATTTGCAGCATAAAGACGCTTCTTCAAGTTACAATTTTTTTCTCTTGATTGGGAAAAGTTTTCCAAGTTTTCCTCATCTTGAGCATTTTCTTTACTTTCATCACCAAACTGGACTTTCTTTTTTCTTGCTGTATGGACAGGTAACATTTCATCTTAAAAAGACAAACAAAAACATACTTTTGTAGTATTCATTTAAACTTAAAATTTGCAAAACATTAGAATTCATATCTAGTATCATAAAATATCATATCACAGAATTCATTCATATGGTATGGCAAATGGGAATACCAAGCAATATTAAAGATAAGACACGTTATTTAATCCAGTAGGAATAACTAACTGTATTTGTGGGGGGGGAAACTTTGAGATAGTTTTTAATAGTTTCTAAAGCCATGGTGAGATCTTCCAGCTCAATTTTTTATTTTGTTTTTTTGTGGAAGAATAGGATTTTTCTCTGAAAGCCATTTGGAACATATCTAGACAATATTCAAACGACTAACAGCATCACAGTTTCTTTTATGTTTGTTTCTTAGCTTTGCTTTCTTATTTTCATAATTATTGCTCCTTTGTAAAAAGAAAATAATATATAGGCAAGAACCAACAGTGCTAAAAAGATTCATATATAATTCTTGGTAGAATTATATAAAATCATTTTGCATAAAATAATCACGTAACACCTTCAATAATAGCATGAGCATCCTTTGTCATGTATGATTCTTCTTATGCTCATAATATGCTATTCTTTTAATATCTTTCCTATTATTATATTCTTGAAATTATGTACCAGTCTGTGAAGCCTATTCTGACAATCAGTGTTTCAATCCATGAAGTGGTACTTGCCACAAGTTGGAAATCAATGCTTTTTTCCCCCTTCCTCCCCCACAACCTTTGTTTCCCATTTTTCCTGACCCATTTTTCCATTATTTTCATTTGTATTTTATATTTTGAAATGTTTAATAATTAAAAATCATGAACTTTTGCAATATATTTTTAATTGACATGCCTACACTTTATTTTTTCTTCTTGACAACATAGAGCATGTGCATACCCATAATTCTTTTATTCCCCATAATTATCCATCCAGGGAGACTGGAGTCATGCATGCCTAGTTTTTGCTGATCTAGATGACTATGGACTATAGTTTCTTAGGTCTGCTAGTATAAGTCCAGCAGGCTGTGTACTCAATCATACCAGCCCTTTGGGATATATATAATGACACATTTACTCCCAATCATCCTGTTATTGCTGGTATCGCCTATTGAATAAATAATGAGAAGGAGCAGTAAACTACTGATCTTTTTTCTTGGAAAATTATTTGGTTCAGATCTGAAGGGAGAAATGAGTGACATAGCAGTAGAAAGTGGAGGATGATGGAAGGCTGTAGGGACACGGGAACACAAAGGAGGAGCAAGACAGAAGTGATTCTCGAATCCAAAAGAAGCATCAGTAAGTAATCCAACCCAATGAAATATAAGTTGTGTGGACTTCTGTAGACTTTAATATTGTTATATTATTTGACTGGCAATATTTTTCAGAACTCAACTTGGCTCATTTTCTAAGCCTGCCACCCTCACAGAGGTAGAGTTTCTTGCTTCCATCCCGCTCCCAAAATCACTTTTGAAACAGCTGTTTCCTCCTTTCCCTCTCTAGCTACTTCCTGTGTTCTCAAGATTTGCTAAGTGTGGCATCACAGAATCTTATGGATCTCTCTTCTGTAAACATGTGGACCTTGGGATCTTTGCAGCCCATATATGATAAGCCTAACCTGAACACCCTTGGTTGTTATTCTTTGAACATGCTTTCAATTCTTTGATTCCATCTTAAAATGTAGTAACCAGAACTGGATATAATAGTCAAATTATAGTCAAAATTAGCTTTTCTAAGATTTAGAAATTGTTTCTGTTCATGCATCTGAATATTTATTTGTAAGTTTCATACGTATTTGCACCCGAATTATACTGCTCTTATTTATTTCCCATATTTCCCACCTGTACTAACTCATATCCTATACATGTACATTTAATGTTTTCATAAGAAAATGTATTTGTCTCTATTAAATTTATTCTGTTATTAACAACCTATTCTTCTAATCCATCAAGATCAAACTGAATTTTATTAGTCTTCCATCATATTAATATGCTACTCAGTTCTGTGTACAGTACACCGATTTGATTAGCATTTCTTCTCTTTCTTCATCAAAGTCATCAGGGAAAAAAAGATAAAGAATACAAAATTGAGATTTGCAAAATGACTAACCATTGTTAGGTATTCTGTGAATGCAATTTTGTTATGCTACTCAGCCCACGCCTTAACTAGAATGTTGTACCCAGTATTAAAAAGAGGCCATCAAGACGCATCTTCTGTGTTTCTACTTTCAGACAGTTCAGGACCATATAACTTTTTTCAGATGAAGGGCCTCTGAATGGTTATCTCAGAACTAGAACTAAGGGTCAGCAAAGAATTAAAGTTTAATTCACAATAATTATACTATAGTTGTTCAATATATTCCAAGGAAGAACAGTTTTTCTCTCCTATTGTGTTAAAAATTACAATTTCTTGGTAAGTTTTAGATATCCAAAGCATGAGGGGATGCAATTGGCTTCAAGATATGTACTCCATATATATTTAAGATCAGTCAAGTAGAGAAAACTATGAAGGAATATCTTTAAACATAGGTGATGGAACTGTGGGTGCAGATGTAACTAAAGATTAGCAAAATGACAGGACAAATCATCTGAACGATTCAGGCATTCAGACTCTTGCCTGAATGTTTTATTTTCCTCTAAAACCTAAACATTTTACAGAGGAATTAAAGCTTAATTCTATTTAATATTTAGGGAAACATTTAGCAAACAAATGTTTATTTGCACAAATCCTACTGCTCAAAAGAAAAGATCTTAGTGGCATTCAGGGAGAAGGAGAAAATTAATTGTATCCAAATATCCATCCAGCAGATAGACATCACAGATTCCACCCTGACAATGATTAGGTCTGCTAACAGATGTTTACCATGTAGAATAAAACTTACTTACTGTATGTTAAGTAACACTTTCTATAATTCTAAATAATAATTATGGCAATGTAAAATTTAATTGAAGTGGTATCCATGGATTTTTTCAGAATTTTGCTATACTCTTATTTTATTGCATTTGTAATTTTTGTCATTTCAGAAAAGTATCTAAAATATGTAGCATTTATATTCAATCTGTTCCTTTCTTTAGTCCCTAACCAAGAGCCTTCAGGTTCATATAAGCAAAGCCTCTTGCATCAGCCAGCATAGAAAAATATAACAGTTGTTGTAAAAAAAATTACTATATATGTGGTTATAAGAGAATACAACAACCAAAGCCTACAGAATACATGCCATCCAAAATACAATATTAAGCAGTGTTGGCTTTTCTTTTTAGATTTTTCTTTACTATATAGTTGAATAGTTGAGTATATTTGCAGCTCTGCTTCAAGCAGTGTTTGCACTCAGTGCAAGTAAAAGGAAGAATTTTTGTATAGCACACACAGAAACTAGAAATTAGGTTCCATTATCTTGGGTAGGTATAAATTAATAAAAGTATAGAATATGCCACCCAAAAACATCTGGTTGATAACTATAGAGACAAAACTGTAAAGAAGTCATTGGAATGATTCAGCACAGCCTCCTCATATATTTTTAGTAATGTCAATTTAATATAGAAGTTATCTATTTGAAGTTTCAATCAAAACCTAATAACAGCAGATTAAAAAAAACCCTGCCTCTTAAAAGAAACAAACAACTTTACAATATGTATTTGGTTGTGGGTTTTTTTGTAGTGGAATTAGTTAAATGATACCATATGTACGAGCTACATTGTCAAGAAAAATGATTGCTCAGTGACAGGAGCCATTACTATCATTATTTATGTCACCCAGAACCATTACTTATCTTTATTACTGCCCTGTTAGTGAATAAGCATTTTTGAGGTAACTATATTTTCCAGCAATAAATTTGTTGAAGCCTACCGGAGTGAGGAGAGACTAATTACATTTAAAGTGCCTTGCTTAATGTTAGCTATTGTTAGTTTAAATTTCATTTAGTGGGAAAACAGGATAGTCCCTCTTCTAAAGTTGTTCTAATACAGCACCAAGTTCTGTTATTATTCAAGTGAATTAAGGGCAATTGATATTTAAGAGACAACAGTTTCTACATCAAATTTTTAAAAACGGAATGTATTTAGCTCCTGGACAACTAAGCCTTTTATTTGTAATGGCCTTCTTTAAAAATTTTTCATTAGCTAGACAAGCTTTGAAGCTGTATATGCTCAAAGTGGTGGTTTTCAAGGGCAGCCCCAAATACTTCGTGGGAAACATATTTTCAAGTAGAGAAGCATTCCCAAGATTGCAATATAACTCCTTGTAGTCTGAAAACCAGCCAAAGTGCATTGTTTTGAAATCAGCTACACAGGAATATAGAGGTATAAATAGTAAAACTTAATGACTTTCAAGAATGAAGACCTAATTTTTAAAATTAGCACCACTGAAATATTTCATTACTTTACAGAAATCTCATTTTCTTATTTACAAAGTAGTAAAATATATTTTATTAAGGACTAATTTCACAGTTCAAGAAAGTCAAGACTGAAACATATAAAAATAAAGAACAAAGAGTGGGTGAATTAAATAGCTATATTTACACAATGTCACCCAAACTTAGTAACGATATACCAGGTGTAACAGCCAAGGTTCACAGAAAAATAGAAATAGAGGTTGTTTCTTTTATGAATACATACTTTGTTTCTGATCAAATGCACAAAATAATCACAACGCGCAGTAATTTTGAAAGGTTAAGTAGAAATCATACTTTTCCATATAAGGAAAGCTTCTTACAATCCTAAATCATGTATACTCATGATTTGTGAAGGGACATTACTGAAACCTGAATTCGTGATTTCACAACTCTTGAAGCATCTTTTATTGTTTCCTATGCTTAGAGTTTCAGATCTTTAGGAATCAGAGAACCATGTGATCAGTATAGGAGATCTCACTTTTCTACATAATTCAACGGTAAAGCATTTTATAATATTCTGGGATTCTCACAAGGCTGATATCAGCCATAGAAATAGAAGAAAGATAATGATGGGAGCTTCTGTATCCCTGGTTAGTAATCCAGTAGGAGCTTCCTGTATCTTCTCCTACCTGGGCAAGTTGCTGGCAGGAAGAATCTATGGTCCTTGAATAAATTGTAATTCTTCATCAAATTCTCAGCCCTATAAAAAGGAGTTGATTAGAACAAACAAAGCTTATATTACAATGATTTCCAAATGATTTTCCCCATTAATCTAGAGCATTTTGAAGATTAGCAAACATTGTTATATCACAAATGTCTAGCTCTTTAGCCTTTCCCAATCTACACTATGTTCCATCCAAATGCACATGTTTTAATATCCAGAATTCTCATAAAGGGCCATAATGGAGGATAACAGGAATTAAATTCGCCCTGAGTCCCTTCGGGGAGAAGGGCGGGATATAAATTTAATAAATAAATAATAAATAAATAAATAAATTCCACACAAAACCTTATTGTAGCAAATTTAAGACATTTCAAACATTTAAGAACAGACCTAGACAATTTGTCCTCTGCTAATCTCTCCCGAACACACAATTCTCGTTCTCTCTCTAGAATAAAAAGGAAAGTATGTTTATAAGATTGAAACTAATACAACTGGTATTTTATTTGACAGAGAGACACATAACATTTCCTTATTTTAATAACACAGGTAGTCTCAATTTACAAGAGTTCATTTAGTGATTATTTAGAGTTACAACGGCACTGAAAAAAGTGACTTATGACTGTTTTTCACACAACCATTGCAGCATCCCCATTATCCTGTGATCAAAATTCAGACACTTGGCACTGGTTCATATTTATGACAGTTGCAATGTTCCAGGATCATGTGATCACCTTTTGCAACCTTCTAACTAGCAAAGTCAATGGGGAAGTCAGATTCACTTAACAACTGTGTTACTAACTTAACCATGCAGTGATTCATTTAACATCTGTGGCAAGTTAGGTCGTAAAATGGGGCAGAATTCACTTAAAAACTGTTTCACCTAGCAACAGAAATTTTGAGCTCAAAAGTGGTCAAGGACTACCTATAATAACTTTATTCTGTCTATGAGAAAACCTGTGTGCAATTTAAATACTTCATGAAATCCAGATACTAGTAGAGGCAATGCCCCAAGACAGTTCATCTGTAAAATTTGCATTGTCTTATTTGTTAAAAACATGTTGTCTTTGCTCAAGGCACTATACATAGCATGCTAGCCTCCAATTCTTCTATAAACAACAGCCCTCTAAGGTAGCGGTCACCAACTGGTGGTCCACAAGAAAATTTTAGTGGTCCGCAGAAAAATTATTTGCATTTTTATATTGCACTAAACACTATTTATCTTTTTTTTTTAATTCATATTAGTGGTCCGCGGGATTTAAAATTATGAATTTAGTGGTCCCTGTGGTCCAAAAGGTTGGTGACCCCTGCTCTAAGACACTTTGAACTAAAAGACCCAGAGTCACTCAATGAATTTTCATGGAAGAGTAGATTTCGGCTTTGTGTTATTGACTTAATGCACCACCTTATTAAATAGTTCAGTCATCATTTAAATCCTTAGACTACAATTAACATTGTGGATGTTTAGAATTTGATTGCTGTCAAAGAGTATCAAGTAGACTACTTCAGAACATTAGAAGTCAAATTATAAGTTTCCTAAATTCCATGTTATTTTATTGTCGCTGTCGCTGTGTCCTTCAGTTCAAATCTCTATTTCACCTTAGGCATGACAAAGAATCATTTGTAGTAATGATTAAGCTCATAGCAACCAGCGATGGAATACCACATACATGTTTTATTAATTTGCTTACGTTCTAGTCTATGTTCCCTTTCCTTTATAGCTTTCTCTTTCTCTTGCAGCTGTTGTTCTTTCAGTTTTAATTCATTAGTTGGTATTCCTGAAACTCTTTCTACTTTATCCTGGTCTGATCGTCGCCCTTTCCTCTCCAAAATTCTCACTTGCTCCTCAGATACCAAATCAACTATCAACGGATTCTGTAGAATTTCTTCAACTGAAGGCCGACAATAATCCTTGAAATCAGAAAAATACATATTTAGCTTACAAAAAAGTTCTTTTTAAAAATGCTAGAGAAAGATTACATAGGTATAGGCAGGTGTATATACCTTTCTCTAACAACTGGGTTTAATTTCACTATTGGCACTTAGTTACATTAAAGACTAAGCAGTCACACAAATGCACTTCCTTCTCAAGAGATAGTGAGATAGGGCAAAGGGGTGGGGAATTAAAAGTTAAATGGACTGGGCCATTAGGTCTAGAAAATTTTCCACATAGAGCTCCTTCAATACAGCTCCTTGTCTTTCCCCTCGCCCCAGAAGTCATCTTACCTTCAGGTTTAACATCTTTGTGATGAGTTCATTCAGCTGTTCCGAATAACGGTATGGGATTCGTCTGAACTTTCCTTCCCTTATCTTTTCCGCTAGCTCTTTCTGATTAAAAGCTGTAAATGGAGGTCTAGGAAAAGTGAATGGCATGCTTTTCAATTTTAAATCTACAAAATGGTCACTATTAAACTTTCTAGAGAATTGTGTTGTAAAATATTAAGTCCTATTGCTTGACATCAAGGATCTAGCTATATTGAACAACTGCTCAATATTATTCTCAAATATATGCTTTAAAACATTTGCAATACAATACTTACGACAGTGCACATAACTCATATAGCAAACAGCCTAGAGACCAGATGTCAGATTTTTCATTATAGGACATGCGATTTATTTGCTCCTAAAAAGGAGATTAAAAGTTATTAAAATACAAATAATTGTATGGCAATAAAATGGCAAATTGCTTGCTAAGAAATCAGTTCAAAGATTTTCCTCTCAGTATATCTGAGAGGGTTCTAGATCAGGAAAACAGAACTATACAGTAAGAATAAAACTTAGTAAATGATTAACTTAAGCCCTATAAATTTCTGTGGGAATACTTCAAGTACAATGAGACTCAATGTAGATACCATTTCATGCTCCATTAGTTAGTTAGTGTTGGTTCAGTTTATTAATAAGTGTAGAAGCAGCATCAACAGCACCATATTAACCCTAGACCTGGATTATACCAGCACTGAAAACACAAAAGCAGATTTGAAATTCCAAGAAAACACTCTCTTCAGTCACTCATTACCTTTCAAGGAGGTGTTAAATTTTTCTCTCCTAACAGTTTTGAAAGGTACTAAACAAGTTTTTCCCCCACAATATTTTTGTAGGTGTTTTTTTTAAAAATATTCTTTTTTGATATATTATATAGATAAGCATTCGATTAAAATTATGCCATTTAATGTTGTTTTGTGTATTGTCAGAAGCATATATAGAATATATTTATTGTTTTCAATGCCTTCTTAATATTTTAAAAATCCATGGAAAAAGTATGTGCTTTTAAAATTGTAACTATTTACACAGATATGACAAGTATCACATTATAAATAATTCCTAATTTGTTTGTTCTGTTGCATTCCACTTTATTTTTACAAATAACTCAAGGCGGCAAACATATCCAAAACACCTTCCTCCTCCTATTTTCCCCACAATAACCTTGTGAGGTGAGTTAGGCTGTGAGAGAGAGAGAGAGAGAGAGAGAGAGAGAGAGAGAGAGAGAGAGAGAGAGAGAGAGAGAGTGACTGGTCCAGGATCACCCAGCTGGCTTTCATGACTACGGCAAGATCTGAATTCAGTCTCTTGCTTTCTAGGTTGGTGCCTTAACTACTAGAACAAACTGGCTCTCTAATATTCAAAACCAGTAATCAGACTTCTACTTGCCCAGTAAGCCTTCCCCTTCTTTTTCACAGGGCAAATTTAGAACATATAAAGGGAGGGAGACAGATAGGAAGACTTCTGTCAGTGGCACTTTAATTAGGAAGAAGCCTAGTGTAATGTCAAGTCACTTTAGTTCAATTAATTTAGGCTGTTAAAAAAACCAGGTACTTAGTATAGCTTGGCAAAGTACATGTTCAACTTTAGTTTTGTTTGCCGATTGATTATAAATTGACCATGCTCAAGTAGAACAAAACTAATCTGAAAAAGTTTGAAGGACACTTACTGGAGACATATAATATGGTGTACCAACAAATGTTTTTGCAAAACTGGTATCATGATGAAGTATTCTAGCCAGGCCAAAGTCACCAAGCTTCACATTTTTCTTGCTATCAAGGAAAATATTTGCTGGCTTCAAGTCTCGGTGAAGCACAGTGTGACCTCCATCACTCCGCCTGTGACACTCTTTCAGGGCCAAAGTCAATTGAGTAAGGACTCGAAGAACAAAGGCTTCATCCAGATAATGTCTTTTGAAAGAGGAAAAGATTGTTTTAAGTGCTTTTAGACTAAACTTTTTTCATTAAACCAATTGTCAAAATTGTATACAGTAGAATGTGATTTAAGAATAATTTATATTAGAAAAAAAACTGTAAATGGGCAAAACTGGCTCTCTAATCCTAAGGGAATGCAGTGAATTTGCATTCTGAATACAGTATAAGGAACAGTTTCACAGGACTTCTTTTTCTGGTGCTCACAAGCCTCTTTTATATACATATAAACCAGAGTGATTAACATTTTGTAGTCATGAACATGATAGCAATTGAAAATTATTTTAATAAATATTGGCTTGATTTTTTGTTCTCTCGTATTCTGACTTCTAATTCTGATCTTTTCCCCATTTTGCATTATTTATTCATTTCCCCTTTTTTTAATTTGTACCAAATAAGGACAGAATAAATTCTTGTTACTAATCTTCTCTAAACAGTTCAATAGAGATTCCATTTCCCTCTTCCTAACCTCTTATAAATACTTCAAAGAGGTAAAAGTTCGCAAGATTTATGTAAGATAAGATACAACAAGAATCTATTTTATTATCCAAATCTATTTGCAAAGGAGGAAAAATCCCCACTCAAATTAAAGAAACAGACTGTTTTCTCAGTTGTAGAGTTGTTTTTCCCAGAAATGTGAGTATAAACTTAATCTGACTGTTTGGAACTGTCTTTTAAACAGAAGAGTTTGGAAAGAAAATAATTGCCTCTTAAGTTTGAGGAAGGATCATTTTTACCGTTTTCAACTTTCACACAAAGAGGTTTCTTGGAGTCCTATTTGCTGGAGGACCAGGCAATTTGCCCCAGCATACAAAATTCTGGATTATTAACAATCTTTGATCTACTCTGTCCATCACTCTATTATGTATCCTCACTGCCCCTTTTTTGGGATTGTTGTTTGAAGATTATGCTGATGATTTTCAACATTATCTACACTAGTTCAGATTTAAAGGAAAGATGCAAGGTCAAAAGGATTTCAAGTTATCATATTTTACTTTACAACATTGAACAGATATCTCCCATAATAGAGCCAATTATCATTGCTCACTGGTTAATATATTATATATATATATATATATATTTGTAAATACAAACTTGTATTCAAGTTTTGTTTTGCATCCTCTATTAACCTATGTGTAAATTTAAAGTCTGAGGTTAAAATATAGTAGGGGCAAAGAATTGGGTAAAATATTTTAAATAGAAAACAACAGAAATAAATGCTTAGCTTATAAATTACTTTATAAGCCAAACATTTTGGGAACTAGTACTTGAATTTGAACATACCCTGCTGTATTATAAAAAATAATCAGACCAAGTACAAGGGCATGAATTTAAAAATAATGACTCTACCACAAGTATGTGTATTCTGTCATGAAAGTTGTCTCAAACTTCTGATTTCTCTCAATATGCATAATTTAAATAAATGAGAGCACTTCCAGATGAAAGTGTCTTTTTTTGTGTGGTATAAAATTAGACCTTCTCCATTCATTTTTCCATGGACTTAACTTTAGTCTCAACACAGTTGCTTTCTACCGTAATAGCCATTGGAGAAGGGGAACTGCACTGGAATTCAAGCCTGTTTATTGCTAGATAACTCTAGTTAGCTATTTTAATTTTGGCTATTATAAACCACAGAAGAGTTGCAAGAAAGAAGATACAAGGAAGAGATCAGTAAACAGTACAACTCAGTCTCAAGTACAAGTAGTCCTTGATTTACAACAGTTCATTTAATGACAGTTCAAAGTTACAATGGCACTGAAAAGTAACCTATGACCATTTTTCATATTTACGATCGTTGCAGCATCCCTGTGGTCATGTGATCAAAATTCAGATGCTTGGCAACTGACTCATATTTATGATGGTTGCAGCGTCCCGAGGTCAAATGATCCTCTTTTGTGACTTTCTGACAAGCAAAGTCAATGGGGAGGCCAGATTCACTTTACAATTGTGATACTAATTTAATAACTGCGCAGATTAACAATTGTGTCAGAAAAGATCATTAAACGGGACAAAACTCACTTAACAAATATCTCGATTAGCAACACAAATTTTGGGTTCAATTGTGGTCGTAAATCAAGAAATATCTATCTATCTATCTATCTATCTATCTATCTATCTATCTATCTATCTATCTATATGCTACAATAAGAAGGGTTAGAAAGAAATCTGGTATGCAGAAGTGCTCTAAGTGATGATTAATTCCAACATACATTCCAGAATCAACATAACATTCCAAATAATCCAGAGGTTTTACATGCCTTTCTTTTGTACATTTTGCAATCAGTGTAGCCAAGTCTCCACCTTCACAGTATTCCATCACAATATAAAGCGTTGTATTTGTCCTGTCAATTATACGATCATAATAATGAACAATATTTGGATGTTTCAGTTCACGGAGTAAGTTCACTTCAGAAACAAGCATTTGTTTTTCAGATTCTGTCATAGATCCATAGTCCAGCTCTTTCCAGACTAAAACCTGAGAGAAGACAAATAAGCCATTTCTAAACTATGAAAATATATATAATAAAATGATTAAATAGCACATTCATTTGGAATGAAGTCCAATGGCCTAAAAAAAATTTAAGCCAAGAATTAGGAAACTGTACCTCATGCCTCTCTTGCGACAAACATCTTAGCCCTCCATTTTTATAATATCAAGCAATACACTTGGTATTTTACGAGTACAAGCCAGGCTTTTTCCTCTTGAAGAGCCTTGCCTTGTTAAATATAGGAATATACTGCCTCTGGCAGGAGGCTGTAAATTCTGTCAGTTCTAATCAGGAATAAGGAATAGCAAACACTTTTATGCCATAATGATCCAAGAAGCAGCAGATAGCAAGGCCCTCCACTATATCCCATTGAAACTATGCAATTAAGGAGAACAAAAACCTTAGTAAGGGTTTAAAAACATATAATTACCCAAACTAGTCACAAATAACCTACTCTTGTTTGTACCACAAACATCCAAGTAGAAACAAACGATCCCAAAGGACTGAGTTTTCATAGCAACATTTTTTAAAGTATATTCCCCAAAACATGTTTTCTGAACAATTTGGGACAAGTTGTCAAGTTGGGACAAGTCAATGAACAAAGAGACCTTAAGAGATCTATCCTCAAATATTACATTGAATAATTGGAGGGGGGGCATTAAAAGACTGTTGGGTGAAAATTCATAAATAAAATCAAGCTTTTAAGTAAACAGATGCATAATACCCATAATAACTATACTATTAACTTTTAGGAAGGCTGTGAAAGTCATCCTATTCCTAAGAGCAGGTAGATAAGGGGTACATTGGGTCACCTTTTAAAACATGATCCTAAGATTTAGTTTATTATATTTCCGTACTGTTGCTTTCCCCAGATTTACTGCTTTATAAATAACCAAAACCATCCAAATATTGCATAAAACTAACATTTCATAAAATCTTCACATAGCAACGACTCCCCGACAGCATCTTTATACTACTAAAACTCTTGTTATCATTAACTTTAACTTGGCAAAACAGTGTACCACAGGGTAGCAATTTTTGAACCAAGGTACCTCAAACAGGCTAATTTAAAGAATGCATTTAAAATCCAGACCCCATGACTCCCACAGGAATGAAATTTAGGGAAGTTGTGGCTGCCTCAACATTGTTGGCTACTGCTGCGATCACATAATCTTCTATATCCAATGCTCCTACCAGGATTTATTTCATTGGTTCGATTTATATGCTGCCCTTCTCCGGAGACTCAGGGCGGCTTACAATGCGTTAAGCAATAGCCTTCATACTTTTGTATATACCTGCTTAGTAGGGCTTTTGGCTCCTCTTAAGCAATGTTCTTTTTTATACAAAGTCAGCTTATTGCCCCCACAATCCGGGTCCTCATTTTACCTACCTCGGAAGGATGGAAGGCTGAGTCAACCTTGAGCCTGGTGAGATTTGAACTCGCAGTAATTGCAGGCAGCTGGCAGCTAAGTGCTACTTTAACAGCACTTTAGTCCACCAAGGCTCTTCAATGCTCAATGGAAAAGCCAGCAGGAAATTGAAAAACATTTCTACTCCCATTGCTTTTTTATCTGCCTTTGGCCACTCTGTTTCTCTGCTTAGGTAAAAAATTATCTCCAAAATGATAACACAACAGGGCAATGGTTACCTATTGAAATAAATGCACTAAATAGATTTACTAAATAGATTTATATGGCTGCCCAAATCACATTCCAGAGAGTGTACAACATTAAAGGTCAATCTCTAGACTGTAAATATTTTAAATACAGATTACAGATTAAATATCTTCTGGAAGGCCATCAGATTTATTTTTATTATTTATTGCAGAATTATTAAGGCAAAGCTTGCTAGTCACAAGAGCATATTCTTATTATATAAAACACATTTGCTGTGTAGAGTAAAATCCAACTTTTAATTATGAGTATGGCCAGACTAATATAGAAGATATTTTCTTAGCACAGATATTCAGGCCCATGAAAATATATTTTTTAAAAAATCCAATTTAATTGTAATTATCAAAGGAACTCCATGGGTACATTTAAGGATAGCTTCTGGAAGTGCATGTGACTTTAGAACTTCAGAATATGTATCCCAGATCAAAAGCATTAGAACCCAGAATTCAAGTCGATTTAATGTGTGTGATTAAAAAAAGAAACTACCTACCTATACATTGCCATATTATTAATTTAAAAATAAATCAAAATCACTTTCCGGAAAAAAATTGGGAGTTGGTCTTTTCTTTGTACAAGGCCAACTTCAAAACGGTTTCACTTTGTGAGCTGCAAGGCTTTTCCAGGTGAGCAACTAAAACCACATGAGGAACTACGTAGGACAAGCGAGGTGGGGGTTTTCTGGCTGTCTCAACTTCTCCCCTAGTGGTTGTTGGTGTAATACATTGAAACACAAACTAGCCAATTATATTTTGGCCTAGAGTACTGTGTGAACTGGTAATAACTTATAGTTTCGCATATGGTGCAATTTTGCAACATGGACTAGATTACAAGGGTCTCCAACCGTGGCCACTTTAAGACTTGTGGACTTCAACTCCCAGAATTCCTCAGCCAGCAAAGCTGGCTGAGGAATTCTGGGAGTTGAAGTCCACAAGTCTTAAAGTGGCCACGGTTGGAGACCCCTGGACTAAAAGATCTTGCCTAAGGTAACAACAAATGCAGCGCCCGACACACACACCCCACTCCATAACTCTTCAGGCTTCATGGAACCAGCCCGTTGGGATCCCCGCGCAGGAGGGGCGGAAAAAGAGGCTCCGCGGAGCTTAGGTGTACCCGGCATGCGGCCAAGCAACGCCAAGTGCCAGGGGACCGTTGCCCGAGGGTTCCTCCACTCACCTTGCCGTCCGCCTTCCGCCGCACCTTCTGGCATCTGCCGTACGAACCGGCACCAATAGTGAAGAGCACTTCGTAATCCTCGGGGCGGCTCGGCATCCTCGCCTCCTCCGATATCCGACGGACCCCCCTCAACAGTAAACACGCCGTTTCGCCACGGAAGATGTTTAAAACGCGCCGCGCCTGCCGCTGATTGGCCTGGCTTCGCGGCTCCGCCCAAAACCTCGCCGTCCGGTTTTCGATTGGCTCCTGTGGCTACGTGCGGGACGCGCCGCGCAACGGTTGCTTCGGCAGTTGCTAGGCGACCACAATTAGTGGCGCTTCAGGGCGGCGCGAGAAGCGGATAGAGTTCGTCCGGATTGGCTCTCCAAGCTCCGCCCCTATTTTAACCTGATGCTTTGATGGTGGTCTGCTTTCCGAAAAGCATCCTAAAGTGTCGGTCGGGAACCAGGTTTTTTATTTCAAACAAACTATCATCGCTTTCATTTCCGTATTTCCTAATCATTTGGCATATAAAGAGCCTTGGTAGTACAGTGGTCTAAAGCATCCTGTTACTAAGACCAGCTGCCTGCAATTACTGCAGGTTCGAATCTTGCCAGACTCAAGGTTGACTCAGCCTTCTATCCTTTCTAAGGTAGGTAAATTGAGGACCCAGTTGTGGGGGCAATAAGCTGACTTTGTATAAATATACAAAAGGATGAAGGCTATTGCTTAACGCATTGTAAGCCGCCCTGAGTCTCCGGAGAAGGGCGGCATATAAATCAAATTTAAAAAAAAAAAGGTTACATGGACAGAAAGGTTAGTTTGCTCTCCTTTGTAAACTAAGATTGGATTGTAAACAGCTAACCTTTAATAAACAGTCCAATCGTTGATACATGTGTTCAGAAACAAACCTTACAATAATTATCTTTTTCATCAACTACTCTTGGAATGAAGCTTTCCTGCACAGTTCCATAAAATAAAACCCATAAAGATAATCCCACAAAAAAATAATTAGACTATCAACTTTCACAACATAGAAACCAATAACTGTGAACTAGCTTTTTAGGAAGGAGATAAAAAGAATTCACATCAGAAAGCAAGGGCATTTTGAGATTTCCATGAAATGTGTTCTGTTGGAATTTTATCCTGTCTTTATTACCTTACTTATAAGTAACTCAATGTTTTGGGAAACTGCAGAATGCTGTTATTCTTCCAGAATAAGATGTGACTTCTAATGTTCCAGAAGTGGAATGGGCCAAAGGAGCTCTTTATTTGTAGGTTTAATTATAAGTCATTCTGCATTTAAATAGGTTAAGAAAAACCTTAAATAGGTTTTAAAACATTAAATAAGTTAAAGAGAAAAATGTCAATTTAATGAAGATTAGTTTAATTTTCACAATATATATGGCCGCTCCATTTTCTTAGACTCTGAGCAATTCTTCACTGCAGCCTAAGCTGTTTGTCCCCCATGCTGTTCCCATCTGTTCCTTAAACTCACATCATAAATTCCACACCAGATAGCAGTGAGTTGGCAACATGGCCACCATGAGGTTCAATCCCTACTATTGCCACTACAAATTTAACTAGTCATTCTGCTGCTTCTTGCTCTTCCCATCTATGTAAAGAAGGCAGCCTTCACTAATTGACTCCTTGTGGACTGGGGACCAGATTAAATGGATAGATTTAATTTAGACAAAAAAGTGGCACAGATACCCGTGTATACTCGAGTATAAGCTGACCCGAATATAAGCCGAGGCACCTAATTTTACCACAGAAAACTGGGAAAACGTATTGACTCGAGTATAAGCCTAGGGTGGGAAATGCAGCAACTACTGGTAAATTTCAAAATAAAAATAGATACTAATAAAATTACATTAATTGAGGCATCAGTAGGTTAAATGTTTTTGAATATTTATTTCAAAGAAAAACAGTAAACTAGCTCTGTAAGTGCTTCTTTTAGAAGCCTCTGACGATCAGGCAACTCAGCTGGGATCGCCAGAGGCTTTTAAAGGCATTTTTTTTCCTCACACGAGTATAAGCCAAGGGGGGCTTTTTCAGCATAAAAAATGTGCTGAAAAACTCAGCTTATACTCGAGTATATACGGTATATTAATTGAAATATTATATTCTCACATGATATGATAAGAGCTACGATATTCATATACTATATATCTCATATTTATTTAGACCAAAGTTTATTTTTTAGTTGCAAGGTCTCTTCAGTTCCTCATTCAGGTTGCTGATGCATTCATATTTCTATTTAGGAATGAAGAATATACAGTATAAGGAATCCAATTTCACTCTTGCTATTGAGCTTCAGTATCTGAACCTTTGCCCTGCATGTTGTAATTTCATTATTTTGAAATAACCTATCTGTACTGACTGCAGGAACAGTCTGGATCAGTAAAATAATGCCAGATTTTTTTAAAAAAAAAATACAATTCTAAAGGACTAAAATAACAGTTAATTTTATACTGGTCTTTGATTTATAACATGGTTGCCATTCTCATTCATCATTTTATTAATTGTCCTGGGGATTATAGAATGGATGAGAAGAAGTGTATATAGATATCATATTAAATTAAATATCTGGGGGGGTGTACATAACTACAAATATCCTATACAATCAAAGTGCACCTGTTTTATATCTGAACTTGATGTTTGAAGACTCAGAAAAGAAGTCAAACCTGAAAAATTGTGCCCTTTCTTTGAAAAACAACACATTTGCAAAAGGCAAACTAAAAATTTAATGCAGCAACTTTGATTTTAAATATCTTGCAACTGAGATATCAAAGATGACCTCTTTCAAACTTGACCTTTTGAAAAATAACTGAAGTGAACCTTTCTGAGTTTATACTACAGACACTAAATATTCCACTAGATGGCACTACTTTATCACTTCTAATACTCAAAGTTTTAAAAAAAATCTTTGTACAACCTTAGTTTTACTGTAACATAATGAATTACAGCACATCTTATCAGATGTGTTGTGCTGTCCTCAGTTGTGTGTGTGTGTGTGTGTAAATGAAAAAGAGATGAAATACAAGAATAAAAGATTATTTGTGCCTTTTTTACATAAAAGGCAACTGTTTAATAAGGGAATATCTCCTTTTAAAATCTTTGAAAGGTCTACTGGCAGGTAGAGTCCACAAAAGGGATGGAGCCAATTTAAGTCAATATTTAATTAGTTCAAAATAGTGAATATAATTACACGTTTTCTGTAATATTTCTAATTTGTCCTTAGTCTAAAATTTACAATTTGACATAAATGCTATGGGGCTGGCCCCAAGTTTTTTTCTTTTTGGGAGAGGTACACATGTGACTTCTGGCTACAGCTTGGACAGTCTTGAAATGTATAATGAGAGCCCAGGGCACATTAATAATAGAGGCCATTGGTCTTTACAACTACATTCTGCTGTTTAGCTTTTTAAATAACCTAGCTAGCACAACATTGCTGGAAGGAAAGCAGCATCCTCACCAATTAGTGTTGTTATAAATTGTTGTATCCCATCTGTTTTCCTTTTGAACTCATATATGAAAGTACTTGGAAATGTGTCTATGCACATGCAGTATCTATCAGGCAGGTAGTGTTTGTAGCCCACAAACATTGTTTCACAACAATCCAAAACAGGTTTACAATTACATCCAGCTATTTTTTCTTTGTTCCGAGTATGTAATAGGCCTGCTCAAAGATTATAGGAAGCAGTATGAGGATTGTTTTTATGGTAAGAAAAATAGAATGGAATGGAATGGAATGGAATGGAATGGAATGGAATGGAATGGAATAGCATAGCATAGCATAGAATAGAATAGAATAGAATAGAATAGAATAGAATAGAATAGAATAGAATAGAATAGAATAGAATAGCAGAGTTGGAAGGAACCTTGGGGGTCTTCTAGTCCAACCCCCTGCTTAGGCAGGAAACCCTATACTATTTAAGACAAATGGCTGTCCAATCTTTTCTTAAAAACCTTCAGTGTTGGAGCATTCACAAATTCTGGAGGCAAGTCGTTCCACTTATTAATTGTTCTAATTGTCAGGAAATTTCTCCTTAGTTCTAAGTTGCTTCTCTCCTTGATAAATTTCCACCCATTGCTTCTTGTCCTACCCTCAGATGCTTTGGAGAATAGCTTGACTTCCTCTTCTTTGTGGCAGCCCGAGATATTGGAACACTGCTATCATATCACCCCTAGTCCAGTGGTGAGCTTCAAATTTTTTAACAACCAGTTCTCTGCCCTAATGACTGGCTGGATGGGCATGGCTGGATGGGCATGTGACTGGGTGTGTGTGGCCAACTCAACGGCACTTCTTTGCCTAAAAAAAGATAGGTGGAATGCTGTTTCTCTGCCGCAGCGCTTTCCGGATGGGACTTACAGGACCCAAAGTGGCGGCTCACAGCTGCTAAATTTCACTGTGCTGCACAAGACATTCTCCCAGCAAGAGCAGCAGTGAAAAGAAACAGCTGCCGACCCAGAGAGCACATGGAGTGTCTCTGCAAGCAACTGAGGCTTGCCCAAAACCAGGGGCCGGAAGGAGGGGCTGCAAGATCCGAGAGATGCTGGAGATTCAACCCGGCTGCTTCTCTCCACTGCATTGCTTTCCGGATGGGACTTCTTACAGGTAAGAACCTTACCCAAACCGCTTTGGGCCCTTGCGCCTGTGCTGCCCCCTGTGGCCCTTCAGTCAAACACGGCATGCTGCAGGCTGGGTAAATTGCTTCAGCTTGAGGGGGGACATGCAGGCAGCATACGGGCGGAGGCCCCGGGGAAGGCCAGAGTCAGGGACTGGCACATCCACCAGGCCCCGAACTGAGGCGAAGGGCGAGCGGGCAGCATGCAGGTGGAAGGATGGCAAGAGCCAGGCCCAAAAGGTGGCAGAGCCTCATCATGTTCACCCTGAGCTGGCCCTTCATCTGAGCGCCTTACCTTTGCAGGCAGCCGTGATGAGCAGAGCATGGAGATCAGCATGGCTGGTGTGGTAAGCTGCAGCGAAGGCAGCAAGCAGGCGAGGTGCAGAGATCAGCTGGGCCGCGTGGTCTGGGCAAGCGAGCCAGAGAGTAGCTGGGTGCGGACATGACTCTAGCCACCAGCCAAGGCAGGCGAGGTGAGATAAGGTGAGCTGGGGCAGAGCTGGGTGGGGTGGGGCGGAGCAGGCGGGGTGGGCGAGACTAGCCAGTGGTGGGATTTGCCAGTTCGCCAAACTGCGCAGAATCATAACAACCAGTTCACATGAACTGGTCTGAACCGGCAGCAGCCCATCTCTGCCCTAGTCTTTTTTTTTCATCAAACTAGACATACCCACTTCCTGCAACTGTTCTTCATATGTTTTAGCCTCCAGTCCCCTAATCATCTTTGTTGCTCTTCTCTTCACTCTTTCTAGAGTCTCCACATCTTTTTTACATCGTGGCAACCAAAACTGGATGCAGCATTCTAAGTGTGGCCTTACCAAGGCTTTATAAAGTGGTATTAACACTTCATGTGATCTTGATTCTATCCCTCTGTTTATGTAGCCTAGAACTGTGTTGGCTTTTTTGGCAGCTGCAGCACACTGCTGGCTCATATTTAAGTAATTGTCCACCAGGACTCCATGATGCCTCTCACAGTTACTACTATTGAGCAAGGTACCACATATACTCTACCTATGCACTTTATTTTTCTTGCCTAAATGTGGAATCTTACTTATTTCACCATTGAATTTCATTTTGTTAGATAGCGCCCAATGTTCAAGTTTGTCAAGATCCTTCTGTATCTTAAACCTATCTTCTGGAGTGTTGGCTATTCCTGCTAGTTTGGTGTCATCTGCAAATTTGATGAGTCCCCCATCTATTCCATCGTCCAAATCATTGATGAAGATGTTGATGAGTACTAGGCCTAAAACAGAACCTTGGGGTACCTCATTGCATGTAGATACAGTTCCATTGAGGACTATACATTGAGTGCAGTTGGTCAGTCAGTTACGAATCTATCTGGTGGTGATACTGTCTAACCCACATTTTTCTATTTTATCAAGTAGCAAGTTATAGTCTACTTTATCAAATGCCTTACTAAAGTCCAAGTAAATTATATTGACAGCATTCCTCTGATCCACTAATTTTATCACTTTGTCAAAGAATGCAATAAGATTAGTCTGGCATGATCTGTTTTTGACAAACCCATGTTGGCTTTTGGTTATTACTTTCTTTGCTTCTAGATGTTCGCTGATTCGTTGCTTCATTATCTTTTCCAGAATCTTCCCTGGTATTGAGGTCAAGCTGATAGGTCTGTAGTGTCCTGGATCTATTTTTTTCCCTTTTTTGAAGATGGGAACTACATCAGCTCTTTTCCAGTCCTCTGGCAGTTCCCCGGTGCTCCAGGATCTTTGAAAGATATAATTCAGTGATTCTGAGATCTCGTCTGCCAGTTCCTTCAAGACCTTGGGGTGTAATCCATCTGGTCCTGGTGATTTGAACTTGTCTAGGTAGACAGGTGCTCGCTTACCATTTTCTTCCCTATTTCTATTCCTAATCTATTTTTTGTGGTACTGTTTTTGATAGGTTGGACTGTTTTTTCCTTTTGTGTAAAGAGAGATGCAAAAAATGAGTTAAGTAGTTCTGTTTTCTCCCTGTTGCTTGTCACCTTCTTGCCACTTTCTCCTAGCAATGTACTAATTGTTTCCTTGACTTTTTTCTTGTTTTTAACATGTTGGAAAAAGCTTTTTTTGTTATTCTTTACTTTGTCGCAAGCCTTTGTTCATTGTGAGCCTTAGCTTTCCTCACTTCATTTTTGCAGGCTCTGGCTATTTGCTGATATTCTGCCTTAGTTATGTGCCCCTTTCTCCACCTTTTATACTTGTCCTTTTTGTCTTTCAATTTGTCAGAGAATTCTTTATGCAGCCATAAAGATCTTTGGTTTTATTTTAAGAGATAGTGATACATTCTTTAAATTGATTGTACTTGCTGGGGATGAAGGGGGAGATTTCTTTTTTCTTTTTCTATTTCACTATTTTTCTTCACTTTATATTTTGTTTGCTTTAATGTATCTATTTTATAGTTGTATGAATTTTACTTGTATATCTCTAACAACATTATTTTAAAAAGGGATATCTCCATATGTCCATCTCTTCCTCTTATGCCAAGCCAGCTAACTTTCATTCTCTTATCCAATGTGCAAATAATTCACAGATGTGCATTCCATCTTCTCCCAACAGAAACTTAATATGTAGTACTTTGATGGCAACTGAGCTGATCATTGCCAATGGCTGGAATCTGCCCAGCTCCTACTGGCTATTAGGCCACTCCCCTCCAGCTGTCTTCAGTGGATTATGGCTATCTCCCAGGTTCTCCTTGTGATTCACCAATTTAAATCAGTGTTGCTCTTCATGTGATCTCTGAAGTGATGCTTTCCCTTCCTTGCATGACAAGCATGTTGGCAGGTTGTGCCAGGTTTTCCCCTCCCAAATCTGTGTACAAGGAGACTGGGAGAGCGCAACAGAGTCTACAACTACAGATCCCCCATGCAGCGTGGTGAAATGATTGCTCAGCAGGAAGATGTCATGTCTGCCAACCCCCTATGTGAGCAGCCGATATGCCTGCAAAATGGACAGAGCAAGAAAGATTGCAAGCAAAGAACCAGGACGGGTAAAGACCATTCCAAAAGAAAAGCCAAACAACATAAAAGTCTGAGACGATTTCAACAGTGAAAGTAAAAAATGCATCCAGCAGAACTGCTCAGACTAAAAGCGTCAATATGGCAGAGAACTGAGAGCTGTAAATGTTTAAGGACTCAAAATAGAGACAAATACTGCCCAGAGTCACTTCTCAGAATGAGATGGGTAGCATATAAATTCAATAAATAAATAAACCACTCTGTCAAAACTCTATGCGTGGTTGGACCAAGCCCCAGCCCATGTTATGGGGAGCAGTTGGTCAAATGTTTTCTTGATGGCAAGGAAATCACTCAATTGTTGGACCATAACCTGTCTTATATCATTATCAATCACTGGTCTTATTACTGAAGAAATGTAGAGACTGGCAAATTGACCAGTATATACTTGGGCCATCTCATAGCTTGGAGGAAAGCCCATTAAACCATTGTCTGCATATGCCTATTATATATTAATCCACAGACCACAATGCAATTGAATGCAATAATTTTCTATTGCAGTTAAATAAATTTCATACAAACGCTTCACAGTTTATAGCTGAATGGCTCTTTGTGTTTTCATTTCAATTTTTTTTTCAGTTAAAAATAACCATATTTTTATTTTGTTCTTTCTGTCATACTACACTTTTATTACATATTTATGTTACATAAACATGATCAAATTGCTGTTAATGTAAAATACAAGACAAACACAAGATTATTTTAAAATAGATAGTTGTTTTCAGAAAATAAAAGTTAGGTATCCTGTTTGTTCTAAAACCCATTGCGTCAGTTTCCAGATAACAAATATTTATTGAAAGGGAAGATATGTGCAAGTGACTGGATGACATCTACCAGTGGGGAAACATCAAGCAATCATGCCTTTTCTCTTTTATCCTTTGTGCCTGTGCTCCCTTTGCCTACAGATTTCTCAGAAATAGTTTGAAAACATTTGTGCAATTTAGCTTTGAACCCATAATGGTGCAAACTGATATGTTTCCAAATGCACAGCTCATGTGTTTCTTTCTTCAAATTCTCATTGATTCCCCCTTGATTTTCATGATACCATTGCTCTGGCATTTAGCTGGGGCAGCTTTTTGTTTGTTTTACTTCTTTCGTGGATAATGCCTCTTTCATCATTATTCTTGATTAAATCCTAATCTGTGTGCTGCCTCTTTTGTTAAAGCCAGTGGTGCATGAATATTTCAAGTAAATATAACAATAAAAATAGCAACAACAATAAAAATTTTGCAATAGTAAAAATAGCAACTTTAATTAATTTAATTTTTTTTGTAACATAGGAAACGTTACTAGGACAAGGTGACTGCAATGCTGAATGCGCTTACTTGGGAAGGAGTTCTATTGAACATTGAAGATTTGCATTATGAACAGCCATGCTCTGAACTGTGCCATTTGGGGTTTCAGTTTATTGATTATAGTTATGTGTTTCTAAATTTATTTGTCTGGAACTAAGCTTTTGTTTATGCTTAGCTGATGATAATTATTGACATCAGTGAAAAGCTTATAGATTTGTTTTTAGAATATTGCTCATAAAAAACACTGTGCTTGCGATTTCAGGCAAAAATTATCCTGGCTGGAGTCTAAATGCTAGAGAAGAAATTCTAAATAAGCTTTTCAAGAAATAGAAGAATTTTCTCCAAAAAGATTCTTAAAGATGCCAAACATTCATTAACAATAATTGCACAGAAGATAGCCAGAACATTTGTTCTGGCCTTAATTGCGGCTCAGCTAAAAATAGTCTTCTTTCAAATTTCACAATGACAAGAAAAGGAAACACAAAGTTCATGTTGTCTTTGCACGCATTACAAGAAATGAATGTTTCTAAAAAATCTTGCTTACTGATACTGCAGATAAATAGCCAAAAACAAAAGAATGAATCATCAGCAGTTCTTTATAATGACCTTATAGTAAGGATTCACTTGCATTATTAGTGTCATAAATAAGAATTGCAAATATTATTTGGAACAAACCTGAGAGCATTTAGCAGGCAGATGTAACTGTAATTTTCTATTTTAAATATATTGATTTCAAATTTCTTTCTCCATGAAATTATCCCCTAAGGTAATGCTCAAAAGAAAGACCCATTGAATTCAAAATACTGACCAGAATCCTTCTACCATTGGTGCCCAGTATTCTGCTTATGATTCATTCATCCACTTACAAGGCATGAACAGGATGCTGTTATCCAATTATTGCTGCCTTGAATTTTCCCTGTGGTCATCATTTCTCAGATTTAGGAAGCTCTACTTTTTCTTAAAACTGAAAGGGATATGATATCCCTGTATTATTACCCTATTGTTGCTTTTACAAGGCAAGGCTTTTGCCACTTACACGTTTCATTGATAACTAAAAGTTCAATGAGAAGAAATAACAAGATCATAAAATATTTTATGAAGGTTATTGTGAATGTGCTCAGCTTCATATAACATTGTCCACGGAACCTGTGCACATCAACTGGTATGAACAGATCAATAGAGTGCAATTCTCTTAGGTACGTGGTAAGCTAACTGTACTTTGACTTTAGAACAGAAAAGCAAGGTGGTATAGTGATAGGAATCACCTGTTTGGAAATAGTATTTTTCGTTTGGGAGTATGTACTGTAATAATATTTATTCTTAAGACTGATATTGCCACCAATTTTATCTATAATAACCTGAGCGGCTCACAGCAAAATCACTACCAATAACCAATAACAGCAAAAGATAAAACATAAATATACAACTTATTAAAGGACATAAAGAGCTGTCCTTTATAATACAGGATGTATGGTCATTGTAATTATACCTGACTATATTCTATATCAGGGTTTTGTAACCTTAGCAGCTTTATGATGTGTAGACCAACTCCCAAAATTCCCTAGCTAGCATGCTACCTGGGGAATTCTGGGAATTGAAGTCCATATACTGTATCTTCAAGCTGCAAAGATTGAGAAATACTGTACTATTTTCTGCTGCAGTTCTCAGTTTATTGGTGGCTACAAAACACCAGAAATTCTCTTCTCCTCTCCTCTCAGATCTGTGTAAAATTGCTGCTTTATTGATAATTCTGCCATGCTGACACTGAGGAAAAGGCTCAAATAGGAGGGAAAAAAGGCAGCACGTGTGCCTGGAATTTTGTCAAGGAGCCTGTTCTTCCACATATTTTAGGGAGAAACTGTAAAATTGATTTCTCTGCACCAGCCACATAACACCAACAACAACAAAAATCTGTATAGAGGGTTGCAGTACCTGGAGACAGCAGAATAGAAGAGAAAGAACTGGAGAAAATCATAAAATACAAAGACCTACAAATAGAAGTAGAATGACTATGATAAAAGAAAAAATAGTACCGTTAGTAATAAGCATCATGGATGCAATTCCAAAATATTTGGAGGACCATTCGAACAACATTGGCATCAACAATATCACCATCAATTATTGAAAAGTCAGCTTTACTTGGAACAGCTTATATCCTATGATACCTTTACAACATCGAACAACAGCATCTGCCTATCCCAGATCATAACAATATGCAGAAGAACAGCACTGTTGTAAATAATAAAGATACCTTACTTGTTCAAAGACAGCAAATATGTGCTATAGTTGTCCCCCAGTCAGTCCCTTAACACCTTCTGGAAGATTCATATTTTTGTCAGTTTCCAAAAGGCCACAAAATCACCAAATCCCAGAAACATTTTAGTATACCCATCAGAATATTTGGGTAGAAATTATCACATTTCATATTAGCATTTTATGTATATTGATGAGATTTTGGTTACTGAACCTCATCAATTAGCTGATTGGATCAGTCCTCATATCAGGGATTACATGTGTCTCCTCATGGATCAACACTGTCCCTCAATCACAGGTTGGGAGCCACTGGCTATAAAGAGCAAGATCATTTCACATTTGTGATGAATCACTTAAAGTCATGTAGCAATCTCAGCTATCCTGCATGTAGATGGTTTTAAATTATATCAGAATTTTGCATTCAGAGAGTTCTAGTTTCCTGTCTGGCAAGGAGGTCTATCAACATGATAAAGAAGCAGTCAGAAGGAGCTTTCTGGCCCTTTTTCTTTTCCATGCAGTACTTAAATAGGTAAAGTGATGCATTCCTTTTTTGTTTGTTTAAGCCAGCTATGCGTAACATTTGACCCATTAGTTTAGCCATAACTTCCAAATAAAATATTATGGTCTGCCAACAGTCTTCCCCTAGCTTTTTTTTTTATTTTTATTTCTAAGCAAGAAACAAAAGCAGATTTCTTGAGTTCCTGCTAGGCACAGCTGGTGGGCCTGCATCCAGATGGGTCAATTTGTTCAGGCTTGGTTTGATAGTCAATTGTGAATTTCCTGTAGGAATGAAATGGGAGGAACAGACTGAGGATATTTGATTATATCAAATTTAGATGGGTGACAAGGTGACTCAGACATCTGACACTGTCTCCCTGGGACTTTGCTAAAGCAAAATCAGCATCATGCAGGCTAGTTGCCTCAAGCGGCGCAGGTAGCAGTAAGGAGTGATCAGGAGGCATTTGGTTCACTACACATTTCAGCCTCAAAGCACATTCCTGCATCATCTCCAGTATGGAGAAAAATATATTAACGTATATTTGCCTAGATAAAAGTCTTCTGCACGTGGAATTAGGCAGCAGTCATGATTTCATATTTCACTGCACAAGAGTGTCCATTCTGGATACGTGGCTTAATGCTGCCATGGATAAAATGGAAAGATGCAGGAAGAAGCTACCAAAATTTTTTTTCCTATATTTCTCTCGTCCTCTCTACTTCCACTTATAACTTTTCCAATGGAAATGTGAACTGTCTCCTGTTATCTAAGCTCATGTTCTGCACATTTCTTTTCTTTTTTGTGAAAGTGGGAACATGCTTTAGAGCTGAACAGCAGAGTTAGACTGAGGTCTCGGAGAGTTCCATAAAACAGGCCAAACCAATTTTCAGTTTTAAAAAAATCCATCACTTCTGAAAAATAGGGCATGAAGCCACTCCATTTAAAAAACCTTTGAGAAGTCTGGTCTGCTGTTACGTTGTTGAGCAGATAAAGTATATGAATAATGGCTCTGCCACATCTGAATTTGGCCTTTAAGTTGTATTTAGGGATATGTCAGACTGAGACAAATATTTACAAGTTGTCCTGTGTGTTCAGTATTTAGCCCATCGCTGGATGAAATGACCATTGGATCAGTGTATATTTTTTTTTACTTCTGTAAAAGACAACCGAACTAATCGACTGGTTAATAAATATAAAAAAAACAACTAAATAGACAGTTTTCTTTGACACCGGAAGCCACAAAAACAGGCATAATTAATCTACAGTGCTCTCTAGGCTATGGAACAAAATGTAATCATAATATAAAATCATTATGGGGAAGGACAAGAAAAAGAAATCAGATTAATTAGGAGAATCTGTGCTGGTACCTACCCACTGAATGCTGTATAGTGTTATATGCCCTTGCTAACTAGACAGTAGAAATACAGAAGCGGGAAGAACATTCTGGTTTGAGGCCACTTTGAGAAAGATTTGTTCTGATCTCTCTTAAAA